CTTCAAATTTGATCTTCAAGTTCAAATATTCTTACCTTAAGTCAAGTATAAACATTTATTTCGCACGATAATTTGGCACATAAAACTCTATATAAAAAATAGAATATCTAAAAATAGGTACCCAGTCTTATATTTATCTTCCTATAGAGAAAACATTGATCACATTTAAGCTATAAAAATTCTTTTTATTGTATTTTGTCTTAAAAGGCAATACTCCATTGTCACAATACAAACAATCACTAATGTCGATGTAGAGTTACTACCCGATGTAGAAGTACTACTCGATGTAAACCTACTACTCGATGTTAACCTACTATTCGATATAGAGCTACTACTCGATGTAGACTTACTAGTTGATGTATGCCTACTAGTCGATGTACGCATACTAGTTGATGTTTGCCTACTAGTTGATGTATGCCTACTAGTCGATGTACGACTAATACACGATGTAGACCTACTACTCGATGTGGACCTACTGCTCGATATAGATCTACTATTTGATATAGATCTATTATTTGATTTAGACTTACTGCGCATTGCATGTCTTTTATTAAAAGTAAGCCTATTAGCTTCAAGTAGAAGTATTAAGATATATAACCTGTAGAAAGATGCGTCCTATTGCTGCTGAATCTTTCAAAAGAAAAATAATGAAGATTGCTGTAAATAACACAGGATAGCCAGAAACATTGACCATGAATGACGTAGTTTATTTGGCCAAATCCAAGGAAAAAACCCAATTATCTAAGGCGTGGAATACTTCTAAACCGAAAAATTTTGAATCAAGAACATGACTTTATAGACTTCCGTGATTGATTGTGTACTTATTCAACTTCAATGGAAATCAGTTTGGAAAATAAGAAGAAAACTTTACATATAACTTCGGAACACGTTCTTTATTCGGCGCAAATTATTCTAATTTATTCAGAAAACAAAAAAATATATATAATTTTTTTTAATCCCAAATTATTAATGAAAGAAGATAGCCCTTAGTTGCTAGCACTAACGCATCCGATAAACTGCAAGTAGTAAAGCTAAAGTTTAGTGATATTTGTAGTTTCTGTGGTGAATGATTTTTCCGTAGTTGATGACATAGAAGAATGTCATGGCAGCAAATGTGATTTGAAAGAATGGAGCAATACCAGCACGTTTTGGTTGCACATATTTGTGTTGCCAACGCCACCAGGCACGGCTGAAAGCACCAGCAATTGCGCTTGGAGACTTGTTACGGCGTCCAAGCCAAGATCCCAATTCACCCAGTTTCACTTGTCCAAATGGAACATCAGCTACAAATAAACACATTGGAGCATGTTATTTTTGCATAAAGAAAAATATATAAATATATTTTAACTTAGGTAACAGAATGAACGTAAATTACATTACGTAATTTTTGCTTGTCAAACTATTTTACCTTTGCCATAGAAGCGGGCAGGGTCGTAAGGACCATGAACCTTTGGATTATATTCCGCTGGATAATCACCGAAAGCCATTTTCTAAAATATCAAATAAAATCTCTTTACTTTTCACGTTCTTGCTGAACAAAAAAAAAATGTACCTTCTTCTTGCCTGTAAAATACCGATGACAATTAGTCTATTTCTTTCACGCGTACGCAATACTTCCAAATGTCAAAATTGGTACCAAATGTACAGGGTTGCCGTATATTTTTAAAAAATAAATTCTTAACACAATTGGAGAATACTAAATATTTGATATGTATATTATTTTTAATAAATTAATTAATATTATTTAATAATTCTTAAATGTTATTAAAATTATTAACTTAAATTCATGACATAAAAAATTTTTACCAATTGTGACTTATAACGATCAGTAGTATTGATATAAAATGAATACTGTTATAATATAAAATATTTCATTGTATTAAAATTTTTCTCATCAACTATCAATATTTTTAAATTTTATTAAATTTCAATTCTTTTATAATTAGTTTTTTTTTTGAATAAAATCCACACAAATTATATACAATACTATTATTTTAACATATTTACTGCTTTTGGATTCTGCAATATATGGCAGCTCTCTTCATTCCAAATTATTCCAAGTGAATGGATATAAACAAAAATTCCAACAGTAAAATTCTTAGTGGAAACTTTAATAGCATTTTCAAAAATTCTGGTAAATTTGGATAAAGATCAAAATAAAAGAAGTTTGCGTGTTAAGATGAAGCTTGAGGATGCTTATGATTCCGCCGCTTCAGTACCTAGCAAAGCAAGTGAAAAGGGAGAAAAAACTAAAAAAGTCTTAATTAATTCTGGCTCCGGTAATGGGGAGGAAGCGGATATTGAATTAAGTGAGCAATTGGAAGATGATTCTCTGAAAGAAGCTGGTAGCAGCAAAAAGAAAGGTGCACGCAAAAAACGTTCGCTAAATTGGGAAGAAGCAGAAAGAGTAACTTTATTTAAATAATATAATTTAATTAATGCTAATATATATTTTGTACATTATTTTAAGTGTTTACTACTGGAAGTTATAAAAACAAAATTGCAATTTGTTGAGAACCGCAATGTGGATACATCAAGTATAAAAGCTAAACGAAATGCCTGGTTGCAGATAACCAAACAGTAAATATTAATAAATATTAAATACAAATTATACTTCATTTTCTATAAATTATTAAAATATATACGTTTATTTTTTTCTTAGGTTTAATTCCCTCAATTTCCGTCATCGTTCTTTGGAACAAATACAAGTACAATGGCGTAGCATGAAGAACACAGCTAAACGTGAGTATCAGCAAAAGTTTAAAGACTCAAGTTTAGATGCATTCAATTTAATTGATTTTATGGAAGAATTACAAAAGGAACCAGTAAGCACACGCAGCCATCGCCTTAGTGGTGGAAAAAAAGATTTGAGTGTTGATGAGGATGAAGACATGCCATTAGCATCATTGCCAAATAATGCTAGTGATGATACTCAAGAAGAATCAATTAGTGCTTTACCGTCCCCACCACCTTCTGCTGAATCACAAAATGAAACGCAACAAGTTTCGCCTACACGCAATAAAAAAGCAGCTAATGCAGTTAAAGCGGAGCCATCAGCGCAGGTAGCTGGAGTTAAAACAAAAAGGCTACGTAAACCACAGGTAAGCTTAATTAATATAAAGACTTAACTAATGCTTTTGCATTAGTTATTCCTATTGTATACATTTCACTATTAATTACACAAAGCACTTTAAAGTTTTGTGTACAAAGTCCGGAACGAAGTCTAGAGAAGAGTTTTTAAACTGTTCTGGTGACAGAAATTTCATATGAAATAAGTTTCTTCAGTGCATTGTTAAAGCTGGAAAGTCAAAGGAATATGCATAGTTGTTTCTTTATCTTCGAGGCATAATCTGCATTCCAAATTAGCTGATATTCGAAGTTCATGATGGTGATATTTCATTATAATGACACATAATTAACACTTAGAATACATACAAGAACATTTTCGAACTGCTAATCCATTATTTGAGGAGTAATATATATCACAAACATTTGTAACTCATATAAATTTAAATATATATTTTTATATCCTGACTGAGTCAAGGTGTGCTATCGTGTTTGATCATTACACAAAATTGTTCTTATCCAGCAGAAAATAGATATTTTGTTTGTAATATTGACTGTTCTATTGTACTTTTAGACTATATTTATATTATTATGACCTTTACTATTGTATGATATTACTGTATAGTGAACGGATCTAGACCCTCAGGGGAGGGTTTAATCATTTTTACCTACGGCTCTAAAACAAGTAGTGGATAGACTAACCAAAATTCACAATGGATTTTCTAATCATTCAAGGGTTTTCTAAGGCGAAGGTGATCGCCATTAGATAAACTATAACTTATCTGAAAGTAGATGATATATTTAGTAAGAATATATACATACTATGAGACAGTCAAGCTGTTTTAAAATTCTTAAATTTAGTTCAATTTATATCCAGGACGGTTTTTGACTGCTACACATTTCCAAACGAACGCGCTAGCCAGATGAAGTACTTTAGGAAATCACTCGAATCATTTAAAAAATTTAGGCTTATGGTTGGCAACATGCAAACCGTTGAATTCTTTCTTTGATGAATTTTTTAAAAGATAAGACTTAAAAATCTGAGTGCAAGTTGGGCATTTATTAAAAAGAAAGTGAAATGCTCTGTAGAGATATCAGTCATATACTAGATTTGCTCAGTGGTTATAGTAGATTAGGGAACATGCTAGAAGATTGAATCTCCCTTTTAATCATTCCTATCGCAGTTACGAAGAGAACGATGACAGTAGCTCAAATCAGTTTTGTTTTTGTTCAGCCCATAAATTTTACTACTCTAGGAAGGTTCCTACCTTCTTTTTTTGAGTATCTTGGCCTACTGCAAAACCTGCCATTTAATAGCATTTTAAGCTTTATTTAAGGTTCAAGGTGGTTTTTAAACTTCTGAATTTTTCCTTATACATAACGCAATGAGCCAACAGACCCAAGTGGATCCTTCTAGATCAACGGCATAACCTAATCTAACTTAAAGTACATAATACACTTTTGGTTTATCCAACAATATTTTAACCCCTATATTCATATTAACAATTCTTTTATGTTATCTGCTACATAGATCTTTACGGGCTACAACAACGTGGTATAGAATACCTATAATTCTGGTCAACATTTTTTGAAAGTAAATGGCTACATTCCAAAAAATTATGTATCTTCGTATAAACTGTAAAGAATCATATTATTTTTTTACTAATATTAGTACAATACTTATCTAGTACTTATCTGATAGATAATAGATGATAGCTATTATCTATCATTATAAAAATTAATAATTAACATAAAAATATTTTTAATAAATTTTATAGTTAAATATTTTTAAATAATTGTTTATATGTTTTTCTAATGTTTATATATGTTTTTTTAGCTTTCCACGTCAATGGACGACGATGCTGCTATTCATGCAGAATCTTATGTAAAAACATTAGCTGATCATTCAAATTCAAAAATACTCAATAAATCAACCGCAATACCTCCAGCAGAAGATAGATTTAAAAAGGGTCTGTTCGATTTGATGAAACGCGCACGTGTTGCTGACATGGACTATGCACGTCGTGAGCATGAGCAAAAATTACGTTTTGAACAGTTGGAACAGGATCTGAAAATTAATTACTACCGTCAACAGGAAGAATTGAAACTGAACCATTTGCGTGAGGAGCATGAAGTGCGTTTACGTCATCGCCAACTCGAGCATGAAGCCCGCATGCGGGCCTATAATATAAATGTTGTTGAAACAAAATCGGCTAAGAAAGGAGAGCATAAGAAAAGTGCCGCCGATGAGAAACCACCGATTTAAGTTGGGGTGATGGCCGCTGCGGTCAAATTTAAATTGAGTTGTTGTCAAAAGGAATGCCTCAAAACGAAATGTAGCTTTAAGTGTAAACAGTATTTTTATCAAAGTAAGAAAAGCTTGAACATTTTTTGTGTGATGTTTAAGTTGTACTGAGTCCTCCAAATCCTACAAATACTCATTAATACTCAATTAAATAAAAATAATACTCATGTTGCCACACTCAAACTGAAAGTTAAGTATCTCTAAGAAATGCTAACATTTTTCATTTAAAAATTAACTCCAAGCGGTTGTGCATCCTTAAACCGACAGTATTTTTTATTATTAATTATAAGTTGAATCATTTTGACCTATACCTTCTTAAAAATATGTGTTTAAATATATTAAATCTTCCCAAAATTTTGAAAAAATTAATCTAAGGTATTAAACAGTATTTTGCATTTATAATGTTCTTACATTTTATATACATGTTTATTTTATTAAAGGGTTTTTTTTATTAAATTTTTTTCTAATTTTTTAATTTTTTACTAATTTGTTTTCATTTTTTTTTTATTATTATTTAATTTTTTATTTTTTTATTAATTTTTTTTTTAATTTTTTTATTAATTTTTTTTTTAATTTTTTTATTAATTTTTTTTTTAATTTTTTTACTTAATTTTTTTATGTAGTTTTTTTTAATTATGTATTATTTATTTTTTTTTAAATATTTATTTTTTTTTTGTGTCCAAAAATATTACATTATAATTTATGAGCGGGCTAATTGGTTATTTAAATAAAAATAATAAAGCTACAATTTATTATTTGTATTTAAAACAAATTATATTTTATTAAGAAATATTCCGATATTTCGACTATTTTCGATAGTCATCTTCAGGAAAACTAACAAAATATACAATATAAAATTTATAGCGGAAAAATTAAAAAGAAACTCATATAATAAATAATAACAACAATAATAATACAATAATAATAGTAACAACAAAAACCAACAAAAAGAAAAAGATAATACAAATCATAAATTACATATAAACTAGTTATTAGATTAATCTAAACTTCCGGCAGACGGCTAAAATGCCATAGCTGTAAGCTTTATATATATGTTTATATATGTATAAAATATATATACAGTATCCTGTCATTCGTTTAAAATATTCCCATAAGTCTGAGCACAGTTGTCCGTATCCATTTTATTATTTAGTCTCTTGCTATTCGAAAGATAGGAAGAAAGTTTTTATTTTTTTTTAATTTTGTTATATTTTTTATTTATTTTTTTATTTCTTTTTTATTTATTTTTAGAGAGGTTTTGGAAAGTAATGAAACTACAACAACAAAAATTCTTTATATATTATTTTTATTAATTGAATCTTTGGCTGACCAATAAAGACCTAAAGACCAAATGGTTTTTTTGTTTTTTGACAGTAGGTGGAATCATCGAAAGCCACCGTGTGAGATTTGAACCCACTAAACCACCTCTTAGGAGTGAATGGAGAACATTTCCACAGCATTGTGAAAACTTCATTCCAGTAATCAGGGGAGAAAGGAGAAAATATAGGCTTAGTACCTAGCGAGCTAGATTTATCTAAGCCAGAAAGCAAGGGGGTACATTAGGGAAATTGGGTTATAGAGATGAATCTTGGAATTATTTCTTGTATTTAATTATTAGTAAATAATTTCTTTGAAATAGCAAGTACCAAGGGTTGAACTAGTACCCTCCCAAATTTGAAGCTCAGAGTCAGCGTTCATTAGCCAACTGACAGATTTTTTTTTTATTTATTTCTTATTTTCTTTGTTTATTTCTTATATTTTTTTATTTATGTCTCATTTTATTTATTTATTAATACTGATTTTATTTATTTTGATTCATATCTTATTTTATTTATTTATTTTTTATTTTTTTATATTTATTTTATATTTTTTTTTAATAATTTTTTATTTTTTTTTAATAATTTTTTATTATTTTTATTTGAAATATTTAATTTTTTTTTATTTAAAATTTGTTTGTTTATTTTTTTTTAGACTTTTTTAGATGTTTTTTTTATTTATTACATTTGATCGGAAATTTTTTTTATTATATTTCATATAATAATATATTATATTTTATTTTATTAATTTTTAAAAATTTAATTTTGTCTCTTATTTTATATTTTAATTTGTATTCATGATTTTATGACCACTTATTTAATATAAGAATATAACTACTTTTAATATCAAATATTAAACAAAATCAATTGATCAAATTAAGTATACATATATCTGTATAATGAATATATATTAGTACAACATTTATAAAATTGTATGAAACAGATAAAAAATTTATTAGCTATTAATAAAAGACAACACTCATTGATTTATATAGTATATAAAAGTATGTTTATTTTAGTAACAAAATAAGATATTTTGTAATTTTTGTAAGTTATTAACTTCAATACCGGAATCGTACTTCCGCTGACTGATTGCTGTTTTGTATTTCAATCAAACGTACGCGTTATTGAGATCTAAACCTATTTTAAACTTTTTAAAGGGTTTAAAGATGCTTCCATCTACTTACACAAATAATCAAGAAACAATTAATGTATTATCTGCTTCAAGATTCTTGCTTTTTGGGTCACTTGTTGGAAAGGTATGCTGCATTTGGTCGTCTTTGCAGACGAGTGCAATTCTCTACAAATATAAAGCAATGTCATAAATTTGTAAAATTAATTTGGAAACGAGGTATTGTTCCTCAATAAACAACTATCTTAACAAGCTGCGTCTGTTTGAAAGCACAATGTCAACAGCTTGGAAACAGATGAGAACTCGAGTCACATTATTTGTGAATGTCTGGCTTTGATCAGGATCAGTTGGGAGCTCCTATTACTCTGATATGAAATCTTTAACCGAACACATTTTGGACTCCACCGCTATGGGTAAGTTCGGTTTAGCTAAGTTAGGTAATATTCATTATAAAAGATATATTGAGTCATAACTCCATTGCGATTATTACGCTTAAATGTACTAATCTAGGAACATTGCATAGTAAATTATTCGTAGATTAAAATTTCATATCATAATATATAATTAATTATTTCTGATAGAGAAGTTGAAGGCCAGTCAGTCACTAAAAAAGCGGTTAAAGTTTTGCAACTAGTGTAGCAAGACTCATATGCAAGTCGTCAGGAAGTAGCGAAGTAAAAAGCGCGAATAACACGTAAGACAATCGATTTTTAGGTACTATATGAATTACGGAAGAAATTTACTTGTGGAAACACCATCAGTGAAATACAGACTGCTTAAACGCATCAAAATCGATCCATTTTTTAAGCAAATTATTACGGGTAAAAAATGGATTAAACACGATAATGTCCAAAGCAAGCGAACATTGTCAAAAATCGGTGACCAATCGACAAACGACTTTAAAGCCTGTATTGTTGGCAAACTTAAGTATTTAATGAAATTGTAAGGAAATTGTCTATTATGAGCTGTATCAGCTAGGTGTAACGATTAATTCTGTTCTCCACTGCTCACTACTCTGCCGCTTGAATGAAACAAAACACCCAACAGAGCTAGGTCACCATATATGTATTTGATGATTCGGGACAAATTCACAGAACTTGGTTAAGAACTTTTGATGCTTCTACCATATAACACGGTTGTATCGTCTGATTAGGATTTCTTTCGGTCTCTGCAAAACTCTCTTGTTGTTTAAAATTGACTGCAAAAAAATCCGCTAAGAATTATTTAGTCATTTTTCACGGATAAACCATAGAATTGTACACCGAATTGTAAAGCTACCCGAAAAATGGCAAGAAGTCATTAGTGGAAATGGCTAATATGTACTTGATTAAATTTAATTTTAACAAGTGAACAGATTATTTAGATGTGGTTAAGAACTCCCTTATCAGTGGTTTAAATAAAAAGCTCTTTTTTCTTATAAGGACTTTGATAAACGACTACGAAAGCTTTTCATTATAAGCAACTTTTGTGCTTGAAGACAAAATCTGACACATTCTGAATGCGACACTCATTGTTCTATTGGCTGTTGAACTGTTAAGTTCGGCCCACGGTAAATTTAATATAAACGCCTTTGCCGGTTAACTTGATTTGTCTTAAATTGAATAAAAATAAAATCAAAAAATAAAATTTTATAAATCTAAGAATGTTTCTGCAAAATTGTTAAAAAAATAAGACTTTAAAAATAAAAATGTAATTGAAACATTAAAAAAAAATTTAAATAAATAATATTAAAAATATCTGCTATATCTATTATAAAGCATATATATCTATATATATCTATCCATGAAATATTAATTTAATAGAAAATGAAATAACTTTGTGTTTTAAAAAAAAGGAAGAGTGATATATAAAAACTATATATTTTATACTATATAAAAAAGAAATAAAATAATTTCTCATTATAAAAACCGTTATTAAAAGTTATAAAAAAAATTGGGAATAAATAAAATTAAAATTTCTTAGGATTAAATTAGATTTAGGAATATAAGAAAATAAATATATATAAAATAATATATATAATATATAACAAATATATAAAAATAATATATATAAAAATAAATAAAAAATATATAATAAAAAATTACTTGTTTATATAAAATGTATAAATAATGTTTATAACATTGTGAAGTTTGTAATAAGAAATTATATAAAAAATAACTTCATTCAATAATTTTTTATATATATAAAAGTAAAACGGTAAATATTTTAATGAATATTGCATTAAAAAAGAATAAAAGATTATATATTTATTATACTACATAAATTATATACAATATATAACTGTCTTAAGGATATTCCCTATTGTGCAGACTTCTTCAATACGAAGTTATTTTGAAGACACTTAGATTTTTAATCACTTTTTAAATTTGGACTTCTCTATAGCTATAGCTAAACTCTTTAAAAAGTTTCTCTTTTCAACTATGGTTTTTTTAGTAAAGCACATATATTAGATTATTAATGATATAGTGATTATCGAGCATTAGTAGTTTGGAAGTTAGTGTTATCGATTCCTCACTTTTATCTGATGTAATCACAAAAAGTGTGGAGAAAAGGTGAAGAATTTACAGTATTAGACGATTTAAAGAAATTACTATAGCTCTGAAATTAATCATATTAAGAAGAGCGTTCCTATACTTATTGATGGTTCGATCAATGTGGATCAATTTGATTATTAGTTCATTCTCCTATCTATTTGGGTATGGAAAACATTTGGGTCTAATTTTGATTTTTTTTAAATTTTGGAAAACCTTGGTGGAAAATCTTATTTTTCTTAAAATTTATGGAAATTTGTCATACCGCCCTTTATGGACTGCGGCACGTTGGTCCAGACATTAATGTTTTTTTCCATTAAAAACTTAATCAAAAACTTTTTTTAGTTGTACTTCTCTTTCATATCTTTTTAATTCATACTG